GGGTTGAACTTTTGGAATATAAAAAAATATTTTTGCAATGTGTTTTTACCTCTAGATTACATTAAAAAGGTTTTTAGGGATTTTCATTTTTGATGCAATTACTCTATTAAACAAAAATCCTACCTTATCACCGCAAATGGACTGTCAAAAATGTTCGCAATTTTCTTCCATTTCCCATATTTAGTAATTAAAACACACGCACAGTACCCGACGCACTACAAAACACGTTCTACTTTACCTTACAACACTATTTTTAGTTTTAAAACGTTTAAAATTCCCGATTTTTAACCAAAACTCAAATTCAATTTCAATACCGACGCGCAAAATTTTTCTAACAGAATAAACAAAAAAGCAGCGAATGACGCTCCCTCGCATGCGCCAAGGGTAACGCGATTTGTTTATTTGTCATTATGGCACGTTTTTGAGTGAATTTTTTAAAATTTTAATAAAAGAATAGACATTTTTAAAAATATTTCGACTGTATATACTCGAGTTAAAAAATTTAATTTAAAAGTGGTACCGTTATATAGGCAACCCAGTTAACATCAAAGCCTACTCGTTCGAAAGTTGTACTTGCCGATCAGCTGTTTCTGTCAACAAGTGCGTTTTCGCGCGGTTTTTCTCCTAACCTCAGTTTTCTCGACTCGATTTTCGAAAAAGTCGTGTCTCGTGAGTTAAAACTACAAACAGTAAATAAACGCGGGGTTATTTATGGTTTTGTGTGCGCGATAAATCGTGGAGGTAACTTTTCGTTTGAAACGTATTATAGTGCGTGAAATATGTCTTCGCTGTTATCAGCAGAGTTGGCTGCTACGTGCAACGCCTTGGGCTACTTGGATGCCAAAACAGGCAAATATTACGCGGACCAGAACACTCTGGAAACGGTGAAAGACCTGATAAGATATTTACGCAGGGACGACGAATTTCACGACATTCGCCGGCATTTGGGCGAGACGAAAGTTTTACTGACCGATTTACTGCCCCTGCTTAAAAGTTACTGGGTGGAAACCGACCTTTTCGATGTCCTTTTGAGGTAAAGTTTTATTGACATATGAAGTTGAATTATTTCAGGTGTTGTGTCGCTGTACAAGAGTAGTTTTTATTCCTTATTTATGTGGTGGTGTACTTAAATAAGATATGCTTTGTCAACTATTCGCCGCTGGTTTATGGGGCGTAAAATTCTTGCCTTCTTAAAGTACTTATTTTGGTTTAATTTACGGTGGTTTATTTTACAAAATAAATTAATGAATAGGTAGGTATACCGAAGGCCTTTGTGTATATATATTTTAAAATTGTAGGTACTGTTATAGTACCAAGATAAGCCACTAATATATTTTTTTAAGAAAGTTGCCAGTTAAAATGTTAAGTTAGAAATTCGACAAAAAGCATTATAAAAAACGACTTTAAATACTCAAAGAAACTTTTTGATATTAGTAGTTGCTCAAATTTTTCATCGTAACAAAAGTATAACTTAATAATCAGCTGTCAAACGCTTATGTTACAAACGAGTGTTTTTGAGAATAAAGCCGGAAAAAGTATAGGACGAACAAAAATGCCAACCCAAACTGATGTCATATTTTGATTATAGACCCTTTTGGTAACACTAACATGTATTTATCAAAATCCCACCTGATCCTATTTTAAAGTTTTGCAAACTTTTTTGTTTTTCTATTTCTATATATTATTTTGCAATTATTGTACTAAAACTACCTGTACAATTTTAATAAATTTAAACAAAATAATAAACTTAAAATCATTTAAAATATCATTTAAATTACTTTACTCCTCAGTAATAATTTATTGAGTCACCTATTATTTTTTACCACTCAAAACAAAACATAACAAAAAAACGAAGATTTATATCTTAAATATTTTTTATAACAAAAAATACTGAAAGTTTGTCTATGAAATAATTACAACTTGCAAATTTTGTAGAACAATAATTAAGGTGGTTATGAAAAAAATTGCTATACGTTATAACGCAAGTGACATTTTGCTTTAGTTGTTTATTTAATGTATACTTTATAAAGTTAAAAATAGTATTTTAAAATGAAAATTAAACCGAAATTCAAGTTAAGCCATGAAGGAAATCGAAAGAAGGTATGTGTTGGCTGTGGAGACAAAATTGTTTTTGGTAATCGAAAAATTCAGAGTTTAGGGTTACTGCAGACTTTTTCAAACGAACACTTTAACTTAAGTGATTCAAAATTACCTACTTCAATATGGTAAAAACGGTATTTTTCCATAGCCACAATCGCCAAATTTTCAAAATTTAGAAATTGCTAGAGAATTTCGCGGCAGTCAAGAATGTATGTGCTTTATCTGCAAAATGGCAAGATATAAAGGGCATAAAAAATTATTAAGGGAAGAGGATGGACGAACGAACTAAAGTTTTGATATGCTCTTCCTTTCTAGGGGATATCGCTAGATGTAAGAAGCATGTTTGTACAGAGACTGAAGAATTTTAAAATACTGTTTCCATGTTAAAAACAATTCCATGTAAAACCCAAGAAAAAGTTTTACTGAAAATTTAAGGCAAGCAGTAATCGATTTTGCTTCAAAGAATCTTTAGTTATTTATTAGTTTTGTATTAGATACCTTAAAACAATAAATAAGATATTGCAAACTGTATTTTACATTATTTTGTATTTATAACGTAATTTATCCATATTTCAGTCATGTATCTGCCAAATTTTTAAAAACATTTGATAATGGTACTAGAGTATTTTATTGAAATGGCATAAACAATTTTAAAATACTCAAAAATATGCAAAACTTTAATAAAGGATCAGATGGGATTTTGATAAATACATTTTTGTGTTACCAAAAGAGTCTATAATCAGATTATGCTATCAGTTTTGGTTGGCATTTTTGTTCGTCCTATACTTTAGTTTTGACAACCGTATGTTGTTGGGTGTATTTCGAGCGGAAATCCTGGGTTGAGTTTTTACCGGTTTTCCAATAAACAGTGTTAATCTAAAAGAAAAAATAAATTGCATACAGTCTCTGTAAAAATAAATTGTTCCTATTAGATACAATAAATAATATAAATATATTTTAGTAGTGATTAACGTGAAAAGTGTAAATATTTCAATTCAGTAAAAATCGTCGAACAAAGTCGTCTAAATTTAAACAGCATTTAGCATCATTAAAAGCGTTGATTAAGAAAGTCTCCACTCAACGGTAAAATACCATTATATTATGTATCATATATAATATTATGTTGCCGTGAATTCGTAGGTATATTTTGTTTGTTTATAATGCAGTTGTCGGCGCTTTTTAGAGAAAGCAAATACAAAAATGGTTGATTTTAAGGTTATGTTTGTGCAAAAATTATTTTTTACTAATTTCTTAAAAATGTCCAAACTTAAATATAAATTATATTAGCTTTAGTTATCATTAGTTTATTCTGCACCAACAAATGTACTTACCGAATTGGATCCTTTGGCAAAACATGAAAATGCAACGATTTAGGTAGTTCTTGAATTTTATTTCCAATTAAAAACACAAAAATTCACCATGATCCCTTAGAAAAAATACACACACTAACGTAACTATATAAGCATTTAAGCGTAGAGTTTTTTAATCAATGATATAAGGAATAATCAATCGAAATCGAGTATAAAAAAGTTTTTTAATTTTTGTATACTTACTAAAATTAAAACCCTACGCATGTAAAATGGGGGGTGAAAAAATACGCATCCACATAAATAAATAAACAAGTTTATATAAAATGGATCTTTTTTCAATTTGTCGAGACAATATAGATTCTCTCATAAACTGATTTCAGACATCTTTGAACTAAAGTTGGACAAAATGATGTTTCAAATTCAGGAAATCGAATTTACGAGTGAAAGAAAATTGTTTCAGTTTCAGGACAAACTTCCGCTTGCGTACATTGTTCCCGGTTTAAGGAAAAAGTTTTTCATAAATAGAATTCATTATTATGATTATATTATTCTTGAAATGCAAACAAACTTTCCCTTTTTTACTTTAGGTATATTTTTCCAGATTAATTGTTAATTTAACAACGCCCGCTCTTATCCTGTGGAATGAAGAGCTACCAACTGAAAAAACCACAAGAAATCATTATCTTCAAATTGAAGATCACCTGCAGAGTTACAAGGAAGCATTTGCTGATGAAAGCGTTTGGTCCGTTTTGAGCACCAGATTGAGCAAAATTTTGGAAATTGTGAGTAAAAATTTTTTCTTCAAATTTCCGAATTTTTTTGTTTAAAATGCTAGTAATTCTAAGGCTCAGGACTAAAAACTTGGAAAACAAAAAATTAAAGTTGTCACATCAAGATTAATTTGTGTAAATATTTTGCAGTGGAATAAACAAAAATAAGTATAAATGGGTCATATCACGCCAAATTTTCGGTCAAAATATATATACAAAGAAAATACACTTATTTTTTATTTCAAAATTATAATAATTCTGACGAAAAAAAAAACGATAAAATTGGGAAATAAAAAAATTACTTTTGCATTTTTTTCGAATTATCCGTAGTACGAATTGTAAAGGTTTTTCAATTTTCTGATTTTTCAGAAAAAATACTTTTGCATTTATTCTCGTATTATCCGAATCAAGTACAGAAACTACGGATAATACAGAAATACTGCAAAAGTAAATTTTTCTGCAAATTTCACAATTTTTTCGTTTAAAATGCTAGTAGTTCAGAACAAAAAACATTTTTCCTTTGTTTCTGCAAAAAACTGTTTTTTTCTCCTGAAAAATTGGATTTAAAAAAGTTATGAAAAGATACAAAGTAATTATTAATTTTTAATAAATGGAAAACAAAAAATTAAAGTTGTCACATCAAGATTAATTTGTGTAAATAGTTTGCAATGGAATAAACAAAAATAAGTATATATGGGTCATTTCACGCCAAATTTTCAGTCAAAATTTTTATTTACCAGAAATATTTTTTTTAGTTTATAATACAAAGAAAATACACTTATTTTTTATTTCAAAATTATAATAATTCTGACGGAAAAAACGATACAATTGGGAAATTAAAAAAATTACTTTTGCATTTTTTTCGTATTATCCGTAGTACGAATTGTAAAGGTTTTTCAATTTTCTGATTTTTCAAAAAAAATACTTTTGCATTTATTCTCGTATTATCCGAATCAAGTACGAAAACTACGGATAATACAGAAATAATGCAAAAGTCAACAAAAACATTTTTTCCTTTGTTTCTGCAAAAACTGTTTTTTTTTCTGAAAAATTGGATTTAAAAAAGTTATGAAAAGATTCAAAGTAATTATTAATTTTTAATAAATGGAAAACAAAAAATTAAAGTTGTCACATCAAGATTAATTTGTGTAAATAGTTTGCACTGGAATAAACAAAAATAAGTATATATGAGTCATTCACGCCAAATTTTCAGTCAAAGTTTTTATTTACCAGAAATATTTTTTTTAGTTTATGATACAAAGAAAATACACTAATTTTTTATTTCAAAATTATAATAATTCTGACAAAAAAAACGATAAAATTGGGAAATAAAAAAATTACTTTTGCATTTTTTTCGTATTATCCGAATCAAGTACAAAAACTACGGATAATACAAAAATAATGCAAACGTCAATTTTTCTGCAAATTTCACAATTTTTTTCGTTTAAAATGCTACTAGTTTTTTAAAGGCTCAGAACAAAAAACATTTTTTCCTTTGTTTCTGCAAAAACTGTTTTTTTTCTGAAAAATTGGATTTAAAAAAGTTATGAAAAGATACAAAGTAATTATTAATTTGTAATAAATGGAAGACAAAAATTAAAGTTGTCACATCAAAATTAATTTGTGTTAATAGTTTGCAGTGGAATAAACAAAAATAAGTATATATGTGTCATTTCACGCCAAATTTTTAGTCAACATTTTTATTTACCAGAAATTTTTTTTTTAGTTTATTATACAAAGAAAATACACTTATTTTTTTATTTCAAAATTATATTAATTCTGACAGAAATAAACGATAAAATTGGGAAATTAAAAAAAAAATACTTTTGCATTTTTACGTATTATCCGTAGTACGAATTGTAAAGGTTTTTCAATTTTCTGATTTTTCAGAAAAAATACTATTACATTTATTCTCGTAGATATTATCCGAATCAAGTACGAAAACCAAGGATAATAAAGAAAGAATGCAAACGTCAATTTTTCTGCAACTTTCACAATTTTTTCGATTAAAATGCTAGTAGTTTTTTAAAGGCTCAGAACAAAAAACTTTTTTTCCTTTGTTTCTGCAAAAAATTGTTTTTTTTTTTGAAAAATTGGATCCAAAAAAGTTATGAAAAGATTCAAAGTAATTATTAATTTTTAATAATTGGAAAATAAAAAATTAAAGTTGTCACATCAAAATTAATTTGTGTTAATAGTTTGCAGTGGAATAAACAAAAATAAGTATGAAATATTTTTTTTAGTTTATGATACAAAGAAAATACACTTATTTTTTATTTCGAAATTATAATAATTCTGACAGAAATAAACGATAAAATTGGGAAATTAAAAATAAATACTTTTGCATTTTTTACGTATTATCCGTAGTACCAATTGTAAATGTTTTTAAATTTTCTGAAAAAATACTTTTGCATTTATTCTCGTATTATCCGAATCAAGTACGAAAACTACGGATAATACAGAAATAATGCAAATGTCAATTTTTCTGCAAATTTCACAATTTTTTCGTTTGAAATGCTAGTAGTTTTTTAAAGGCTCAGAACAAAAAACATTTTTTTCCCTTTTTTCTGCAAAAAACTTTTTTTTCTGAAAAATTGGATTTAAAAAAAGTTATGGAAAGATACTAATTATAAACTTTTAATAAATTGAAAGAAAAAAATTTAAATAATAAAAATTTAATAAAAAGAAATTAATATCAAATTTGCTAGTTGTTTATTAAACCTTATAATAATAAAAAATACAATATTTCTACACTTGTTATTAATATATTCACTACACGATATTTACAATTATTTTTATAACTTGACCTTTCCTGCTATAATGCTATTTTCAATACCGCAGTGGTTTTCACCCCTGAGAATTTTAAAGAAACCATTTTCACCCCAAAGGTAATCCCAAGAGTTGGCCACCAACCAGTAGGGTACACCATTTTCTCTACCCCATCCTATTATTTTCACGGCATGTGCTCCCACCAAATTACCCTTGGTGTGAGCATAAACACCTAAAAAATACACCTTAATTAATATTAGAGAGACGAAATAATACGAGGTGTGTTCAGAAAATAACGGGAATTGTTAAATTTCGCGGGTTCGGAGGGTCCGGTTGTCATAAAATTTTCTTTATTATGTTGGTATACATGCCCCCGAAGTATAATAAAAACTTTAGCTGTTTTCATCGTTTACTTTGTCTGTGGCAGCCGCTAAGGTTAGACGTATTTTATGAGCTCGGCGATTTTCGTTCGTTAAAAGAAATGGATCAAAGAAATTTGTATCCAATTTTGCTTAAAAAATGAAATTAATTCTGTGAAATGTTAACAAAGACCTATAGTGATTCTGCTATAAGTAAAACAAGAGTTTACAAGTGGTATAAGACTTTTCAAGATGGCCGTGAAGACGTTGAAGATGACGAACGCCCCGAACGCCCAAGCACATTAACAACCGATAAAAACATGGAAAAAGTGGAAGAAATGGTTATAAACCATCAGAGAAGTCGCTGATGATTTTGGTATATCGATTGGCTCATCTCATGAAATTTTTTCGAATGTTTTGGGTATGAAACGCGTGGCAGCAAAATTTGTTCCAAAATTGTTAAATTTTGAACAAAATTTTTGTCCAAAAACAATACTGTAATGATGCCCCAGCCTCCATATTCGCCAGACAAGCCTCTGTCTGACTTTTCCTATTCCCAAAGATAAAGAGAACCTTAAAGGGCCGTCGTTTTGCAAGCATAGATGACATTAAAAGCGCATCGCTGAAAGAACTAAAGGCTATCCTAAAGGTCGAGTTTTAGAAGTGTGTCGAGTATTGGAAGAAGAGCTGGCACATGTGCATAATATCCAATGGGGACTATTTTGAAGGAGAAAACATTAATTTAGATGAATAAATAAATATTTTTTTCAAAAAACTAAAATTCCCGATATTATCTGAAGACACCTCGTATATTGTACAACAAGTGAAGATTTTGTAATGTTTTACCTGACGCGTATGTGTAAAAATCCTCATAAACCTTAAAGGCTGCCTCAACAGGTCCATTTGATAGAATTTCGTTTTTAATGAAAAATTCATATCCCCAGATCCTGTAAGCCCTAACTCCATACCTCAAATCTTCTTTGTAAGTTTTTCCATAGCCTGGTTGGCATTCTAGTTTGCATTCAGAGGTAATTCCATCAATGCCTGATAAGTACGGTTTGCATCCCTAAAATATGTCTTTTTCAATTTTTTTTCTTAAGAGATATTATTGCTGGACTTACTTCATCTCCATCATCCCCAGATGGTATTCCATTTATGATCCAATACCTCCAAGCTTGCAGTAAATATCCACCATCGCATCCATATCCGCAATCAGAGCAACAAGATACCAACTCCTGTGGAGAAAATGTGAATTTGATTTTCCCCCTGGATTGTATGCAAACTCTGTCCGACATTGCTTCTACTGCTCCAAAAGCCTAAACAAATTGAGAAAAACCTATCCTCCGTGACTGTAACTCTTTCTAGGTTAACCGATAAGTTTTTAAATATCTGAGGTAGTAAAAGCATACTGAAAATATCAGTTCACCAAGTAAATTAAACACATCCAAAGCAATCGAATCAAATATAAAACATTATTAAAAATTAAAAGAAATAATTTTTATAACCATTTATGTAGGTGTTACAAAAATTGATTCTATCCTCCGTGAATCTGTTTTTGCTTTAAATTTTATGTAACGGATGGCGCTTTAATCGTTTTAAATAAGCAAAAACCTCTGTTTACGACTTTATAGATGCATGTGATTCCTAAAGGTCAGTTAGAATTTTTATGCAGATGAGAGTGTTGCTGTTTTATGATTCAAAAGTTTAAGTTTATTAATTTGCCATTTAAAAACCTATCCTCCGTGAAGTGTAATATCTCAGTAAGAAGATTTTTACACATTTTTTACATAAATACAAAATAATGATTCTTACCCAACATGACCCACATTTCCCTTGATTCCTTATGGACCGTATGGACTCGCACTGAGGCCACTGCTTTCTGGAATCAAACTCGGATGGTGGGGAAAAGGAGAAGCGAAAAAGTGACGTTAAAGGTTGATAAGGCAATTGAAAATTTTCATCCTTGCTTATGTCCATCAACGAGGCCAATCTTTTAAGTTCCTCTATGGTTGTATTTTCGTGGAAATTTCGAGCTGCTCGCCATGTTGGGTTTTCCAAGTTGATGCTTCTTATGAATGAGGCGGAAAGTGGTTTTTCATTGGCGTATGTCGGGTTTAAAATAGTCGTAGAAATAATGAGCACTATTAATATGATGGTATACATTTTGAAATACTTATAAATACTATTTTCAAAATTGCTATTTATACAAAAATAAATTAAATATTTACACCTTACTTATTTGTTTTTCTATATTTCAAGATTATAATATTAGTCATGTTATAATTGAGGTCCCTAGAAGCAAGGGGTATATATACAGAGTGCCCCCACCATTTTTCCCCCCGCACATTAGGCACCCTTATCTTAAATAACAACCCCACTTTTTAACATCGAAAATTGATAGTGCACATTTTTTTTAGTACGACGATACCACATAAGTAGGGTTTAGTAACCATAATTTTCAATACAGGGTGAATATTTAAAAATTACAAGTATGAATTTTTTATTGTTATTCTATAATTTAGTTTCTTGTGTTGTGGCTTTCGCTATTTAGATATTTATGTTTTTTCGCTTTGTTATTGTTTTTTGTTAATGCCATTTTTTGCGCTTTACTTATTGAAGTATTTTGTTAGATCCAAGTAGGTATCAGTTAATATTTTAGTTAAAAAATGCGACACTTGACAGAAACTCTGCTAATAGAAATATTAATGATATTGGTTACGGTGATATGTGCAGATCACAACAGCAAGTTGCAAACCTTTTTAATGGAAAATACCCAGATTTATTACCACTTTCTCAGGCAACTGTGTCTAAAATACATGCACAATTTCGTGAATATGGACACGTTAAACCATTACGCAAGACGCCTCATTTTATTGATGAAAATGTGAAAGTTAATATTTTATTAGCTTTTCAAGAAGATCCAACAACTTCTACGCGTCAGGTTGCACGTGAAAACGACGTTAGTCATTCGACCGTTTTAAGATGTGTAAAAGCCGAAAAAATGCATCCATATAAACTACAACACGTACAAGAATTGATTGATGGTGATTCTGATAGAAGATTACAATTTTGCGAGCAAATGCTGCATATGTTAAACAGGAATGTTATTTCTTCTGCAGATATTCTTTTTTCTGATGAATCAACATTTCTAGTAAATGGCGAGGTAAATAGACAAAATTGCAGGTACTGGGCAGAAGAAAATCTCCACTGGATGCGACAAAGTCATACCCAACGTCCAAAATCAACGCTTGGGCTGGTATTGTTGGTGATCATGTGGTGGGACCTATTTTCATTGAAAATCTTAACGGGGCAAGATATCTGGATATGCTAAGAGAACAAGTTCTCCCAACTTTAGCAGAGTTGTTTCCAAATCCATCTTCCCAATGAAAGGATATGGCTTCAACAAGACGGTGCCCCACCATCCTCTTCCTGTACGGAATTATTTAAATGACACCTTTCCACACAGGTGGATCGGAAGAAGAGGTTTTATAGAATGGCCAGCAAGATCACCGGATCTAACACCTCTAGACTTTTTTCTATGGGAATATCTAAAAAACAGGGTGTTTAAAACACAACCTGCTAATTTAAATGAATTAAGAAACAGAATTACTGGAGAAATTAGGAACATAACACCGGAGGTTTTAAACAGAGTGCGGGAACAATTTCACAGTAGATTACTAAAGTGTCAGGAAGTGGACGGGGGACATTTTGAACATTTATAAGATTGAAGAACAGTTTATTTTTGAATTTTTAATTCATTTTAAAATAAAAAGTTTAGTTTTTTAATTTGTCATTATATTTCCATGGGTGCACCCTGTATTGAAAACTGTTTACTAAACCCTACTTATATGGTATCGTCATACTAAAAAAAACTATCACTTTTCGATGAAAAAAAGTGGGGTTGTTATTTAAGATAAGGGTGCCTAATGTGCGGGGGGGGGAATGGTGGGGGCATCAAATTTAAAATTATCAATATAAGATTTGGAATAAAAAACTAAAGTTTACTTGTCCGAGCGTTTTTCATAAAAATCTTTTCTCAACGAATAACTAATTTTATTCCATAAGTGAGTTCCACACTGTATATATATTTGAACCAAAATACAGTAAATATTATTATGTATTTTGTCAAGAATTTCTAGTTAAACAATACAAATTTTATTTAAACAACTAAGCATAATAAATAAGGAAATTTAACTTAAAAAACATATTACGACAAATTTATATATAACTTGTTAAACGTTCAAAACAACATATTTTTAATTATTTTCGTTGTATTTAGAAATGGGATTTGAATAAACTATTTTTTTTCGTAGTTTGTAGAGGGCCATGGAAGTTAACTTGGCAACTAGATGTCGCATGCAATTTTCGACGGGTTGAAATGTTTCATTAGATTGCGGCTATATTCATCGTAATTTAGTGGAGTGTTTTGGAACTGTTCCTGCTCGCATGATTCAAGCAGACGCCATTATCTCTAATGTCTCTATTTTGTGTATTGTTCACATGTGCAGACAGGCTGCCATACGGGTGGAGTTTTGCATTTTTGTAGCTATTTATTCGCTATTTACAATTTTGTTACGATTTTGTCGAATTTTTTAAGTACACAGAAAAAAAGGAATGGTTAATTTAACTATATTAATTTAGTTGAACTATATTTATTTAAATCAACTGTGGGAAGGTTAATACAAACAAAGATTAGTTTGACGGTACTAAACCAGATAGTTATTTTATTTTTTTAAATTGGTTAAATAACCCAGAAAACTTTAGTGAAACCAACCCGCTGTATGGTTCAGTTTACTAAATATGTTGTTTGTAAAATAAGAGTTACTTCAACCTAAAGCACTTTGTTAAAACGATTAAAACAATTTGCCGTGCATTCCTGGTTGCATAGTGTGTACCGATCGCGGCAAAGGCGGTGTGGATCACGTGATGCTCGTAAATCTCGCCTCTGTTGACTTACATGGAGAGTATATAAGCTCAGGTAGTCCTTTGCTTTGGTGTGACACTACAAGTTGTACGATACTAAAGAGACCTTGAATAGGTGGAAACAGCTGTCAATACAATAAGTATTTTATTAAGTTGGTGGAAAGCACTAAAAAAATTATCTCTAGCGAGGTGAAGGTTCTATTTTCTGGAATAATACCACTGGTATTATACTAGTAATGCGTCAAGGAACTTCCTGTTTCTTGAAGAATATAAGAAAATGGCTTAAAAAATGTTTCCGCTCAAAATTTTTCAAGATCTTATTTTTATTGTTATTTTATGTATATAAATGCGCCAAACGATATGGGTAAGTTGTACCAAGCCGTTAACCTAGTTAGGGTAACAAATTATATTCAGTCAATTCAACCAAATGTATTTAGTACATTGGACTGGTAGGTAAAGGTCACTTTAACTACATAAATGTTTGTTTTAACCGAATATATATATAGTTGTAAAATATACCTAACTAAATGCGGTTGTTAAAATAACTAAATGTTTGGTTGGCTCTATTGAAACAACAGATTTAGTTAAATGAAACAAATAATAGTTGGGCTAACTAAACCTTTTTTGTTCCTTAATTTTCCATTTTTTATGGTTTTTAAGTTTTCTATGGTGTTTTGGACCTCATCAGTAGCGGGTAGCCGTGTGGTGAGCAACAAGCTTTATAGGCGGCAGGAGAAGCGACCGAGGTAGCAAAGTGAACGAAAGTTATCAGCACCATCTAGCGTTTATGTTTTGAAAACCTTTAAATAAATTAAAAAAGTGGATATTGCTGAATACATTGTGATTCAAAACTTTAACGAACAAGTTAAGTCCATATTTAATGTCAGGAAAAAATCATTTCCCCAGCTATAGCTTTTTTTAATCTCATAATATTTCTGATGATGACTTTTGAAACTCATCTCGTCCGCATAAATAATAAAAAGAGAGGAGATAAAACATAACAGCGCAAAACGCGTTTTAACGGGCAATAGTGAGATCGATAATTTTATATTCATTTCAGGGATATTGAATTTCATATTATTTTCATGTAGTTTTTCAAGCGGTTGTTGTGTTTTATTTTAAATGCTGTATTCAATATATTTTTTTTTGATTTTTAAGTTATTAAAACAGGCCTACAACAGGAACTGGGCTTTTTTCTTTTGGATTAGAATTTTTGAATTGCTTAATGCGAATTATTATAGAGATTAGTTGCTATCAATTTTTCCCTAAAAATGATCAATTCTTTTGGTAGAGTGACGTTAGGATGTTATAATATAAATGGTATATTGGTAGGTAGGTATCAAGATTTACGAATGATGCACGCAAAAATAACCACGGTCTTATACGAGGTGTGTTCAGAAAATAACGGGAATTGTTAAATTTCGCGGGTTCGGAGGGTCCGGTTGTCATAAAATTTTCTTTATTATCTTGGTATACATGCCCCCGAAGTATGATAAAAACTTTAGCTGTTTTCATTGTTTACTTTGTCTGGCAGCCGTTAAGGTTAGACGTGTTTTATGAGCTCGGCGATTTTTCGTTCGTTAAAAGAAATGGATCAAAGAATTTGTATCCAATTTTGCTTAAAAAATGAAATAAATTCTGTGAAATGTTAACAAAGGCATATAGTGAGTCTGCTATAAGTAAAACAAGAGTTTACAAGTGGTATAAGAGTTTCCAAGATGGCCGTGAAGACGTTGAAGATGACGAACGCCCCGAACGCACAAGCACATTAACAACCGATATAAACATGGAAAAAGTGGAATAAATGGTTATAAACCATCAGAGAAGTCGCTGATGATGTTGGTATATCGATTGGCTCATCCCATGAAATTTTTTCGAATGTTTTGGGTATGAAACGCGTGGCAGAAAAATTTGTTCTAAAATTGTTAAATTTTGCCTCTGTCTGACTTTTTCCTATTCCCAAAAATAAAGAGAACCTTAAAGGGCCTTTGTTTTGCAAGCATAGATGACATTAAAAGCGCATCGCTAAAAGAACTAAAGGCTATCCCAAAGATCGAGTTTTAGAAGTGTTTCGAGTATTGGAAGAAGAGCTGGCACATGTGCATAATATCCAATGGGGACTATTTTGAAGGCGACAACATTAATGTAGACGAATAAATAAATATTTGTTTCAAAAAACGAAAATTCCCGATATTTTCTGAACACACCTCGTATATAATACAGTAAAGAAGAAAAAAATTGATATTTATTTTAAATAAAAAAGTTTAAATTATTTCTGCAAAACAGTGCTGTATGATTATCTAAAAATGCATTTAAAAAATAAAAACCTTTAAAATATAGTTAATTAAAATAAATATATATATTTATTTGTAATAAAAAAGTTATTAATTTTTTAAAAAATTGTTTGAGAAACAATTTAATTACAAACTTGTATGCGTAGTCTTTAAATAGGTATATTTATTTAATTAAATTTAAATATTTTACTATTTACAAGATCGAAACACTCACGTTAATTAATTATTAAAATTCGCTGGTGTAATTGGAAAAGTTTTTTCAGAATTGAGCGGTGGTATAAAGGAAATATTTTTAAAAATTGTTCTTCAAAGCAAATATAATTAATTAAATTTGTAAACGGCTTACTATGATTTAATTCCTAATTAGGAGACACGCTAACTAAAACATCTGAAAAGCGATCAATTATGTTCGATATTGAGTTCCTTTGGTTCTTCTTTAATTTTTGTAATCCTCTTAAATATTCATCAAAATGAATTGAGCTTTAATTTAAGTTTTAAATAAACTGTACACTGTAAAAAAATGCTGGTTTTTCACAGAAAAAAATCACTGAAATGTTTGACACATTATAAATAAAAATAAATTTAGACTGACTATACTAAATGGATAATATTAACACCTGCTTTAGATTCCCCAAAATTATTTTTTAATCCTTTATCACCTCCAGTGTCGCTATTAATCTTAATTAGCGGTAGTAAATGTCGTAAAAATTGTAATTGATTACAGCAGGGCCGTTACTTTGTTTTTTTTGCCCCTTTTTGTTGCATTCCACCAGGTAAATGGTACAAAAATACAAGCTACAAAACAAACAAAAATATAAACCTTAATTATTTTTTTATTTAAAATAACTTCAAAAACAATGTTAAAAATTTCCATTGTAATTTTACTAAACATGTTTAGAAAGTTTTTACGCACCACAATATAGTAATAATAAAACTCAGTTTTGTAAATTCACTACACGATTCATTACAACTTAATTTGGGAAAATTACAAAACGTTTGTTAAAGAATCACTAAGCATTTATTAAAAATTTGTTCAGTAACATTACTATACAGGTATTGTAATTTTCCTAAAAAAATACTAAATATGTTTAGTAATTTTAAAATGGTGTAAAAAATTTTGCCCGTGTAAATTTTTTAGTGTAGGGGTAAAAATATTAGAGTTGATTTGTAAGTGTAAAAGTTACACTACAAAATACACTAATTAGCATTTATAAATGCTACCTAGTGCACTATAGTGCTTATTAACTTTATTAAACACATTTTAAGAATATGAACATTTTTCATTGGCACATTCACACTATTTATAGTTAAAATAAATCAAAAACTTAATGCGAGTGTTTATTACCCCTTAATGTGTTAAATAGTGACAAAATGTACACTACAGTGCATGCCAATTTCTTTGTCTGTTTTTATGTTACTAAGAGCTATTTTTTCTTTACACTACTAGTGCACATTGTATCATAATTAAAGTTAAATTACACCAATAGTGGCAAAATAGACTGAAAAAACTGGTAATAACCGAAATGCGTTTTAAAATGTTTGGTTGGTACCTATCTACCTAGGCAGTGTTGTTCAGTTAGATTTTAATTACGGTGAATCCATAAGGGGACATTCTTAATTTTTGGTAAGTATTATACTTCCTTTTTCTTTAAGCCTTAATACTTAATAAACACCAATATGTTAAAAGGATGTCCATACCCGACCTATATTATATATCAATAATATACGGCAGTAGGTCGGGTACTTGTAACATTAATAATATAAATACATACACACTTGATTTACTTTTTATTTTCAAGCGTAATGGTTGTTATATTAACCTATACCTACATTTTTATTAATATTATGGAAAATTTGTACACGTGTGGTAAATCCCCGACATACAGCCGCCTGACGCCTCTATACCAATGGGATCACCCATTTTTATAACAGAAAAATGGATTACTGATGAATTCTCAAGATAATTCATTGCTTACAAGTTGACAGCCAGTAAAACATTGGATTGATCTAAAAATTTTACGTTTTAAGGAACCATTTTGCTTAAGCCAGCCATACGATTCAAATATAAAATTATATTTTAAAAGGTACCGATTTTGATAATTGTCATAGATTTTTGTTCCAAATAAATGTTTCTCTTTATTTACCTTTTCCAATAGGTTTTACTCAAATAATAGTGTTAATTTACACTACAAGTTTGCACTAAAAGAGTTAAAGTACCTTTCTAAAATAAGAATTTTTCCAAAGTAGTGTTAATTTACACTGAACAAAAGTGGGATTTTACCCAGGAAGTGTAGAAGTACACGAATTTAGGTAAATTAACACTTTTTAATACAGTGTAAAATTACTTTATCCTCAGTGCTATAGTGTTAAATCCGGTTAAATCATACTTGGTTACTTGGGGAAAATTACACTACAAATTAACTCTAATTGTAGTGTTATAAAACAACACTATTTAGTGTGGACTTGTGTGAACTCTAATTAGTGTTGCTTCAACTCAGTTTCACATTACAAATAGTGTTATTTTAACAAATTACACTAAAAATATTTGGTAATTTTCGAATGATGGTATTGTAATTATACTACGAAAAAAAACCCAGCTATTTTCTTAGTTTCTTCAAGAAACCTTCTTGACCCGTTACTGTAAAGATTAAAAAAAATTGAACCTTCACCTAGCCAGAGTTTTTGTTTTAAGTGCGTTCCACCAACTTTAAATACCTACAGAGAGGTAGACCTATTTTGGATCTTATTTATGTCGGGCAATTTGGTGTATTGGAACACACCAAAAACAAAAGACACCTGAGCTTATATACTGTCCACCTAAGTCAAGAACATCACGTGATTGCCGCAATCGGTACATACTGTGCATTTTACATACATTATAGCAAATCAAATTACAAACAAAGTTTGTAAATCTGAGATGCTTTTTATTAGAAATTTTCAAACTGTTTAGTAAATTTACACGTCTTGGAATATTACTCAAATTGTATTATAATTTTGTATTGGTATACACTGATAATTTGTTTGTAATTTGTTTTTTAAAACAATTGTAGTTTTGCAAAAAATTTTAACAGTGGACATGATTAAAATGATTACTCATCTTAGTAAAATTAAATTCCGAATATGTATAGAAATTTTACAACATTTCAAAGTTAATTCTACAATACAGAATAGTAAAATTACTATAATTATCTGACAAAAACAAAAACATTGTAAAATTTGAACCTGTTTAGTACTTTGGCTATAACAAATGCGTATTAAAATTGCAATACAATACAACATTTTGTAATTTTACTATGCAACTGCTTAGTAAAAATGTAGTAATTTTACTTTTCTTTTTAATCCATCTTTAGTCCAAGGTGACTTTAAGGATAATTTTGTTTTACAGGATTCAGGTGAAAGGGGCGATGAAAACAGCCTCATCATCGAAAGGATCCTGATCCTTATCAGGAATATCCTGTATGTTCCTGCAGATCCTATGGCGGAAAAAAGGACCGACAATGACGCTAGTGTCCACGACCAGGTAACATAATCCACTTTAAATATTATTACTCTTTTCGTCGGCGAGTAATTTTGATGTTTCAAATTGGTAATGTAATATCGAAATTAATCGAGTCTCTAATTAAGTTTACACGAAAACATAGTTTTGCTACGTGCTCGTGAGTTATTGGTTTCATTAGCCTGCGATGATTGGAAATTCATAGTAAAATCAACGTACGTTGTACTTGGAATTGAAATGTGACCGCTTTATAGTGAAACATAACCACGTAATTTATATTGGGAAACTAAACTTAAATAACATTATTCGATACACAGTAGGGTGTCCGTTATTTACCAAGTTGATTTTTTTCTTGCGACGCCCAAAAATTTTTAGTCTATCGTCTAAAAAAAAATTTCAGACCAAAATAAACTCTTAATATTCATAATAAACCTTGCCCTAAAGACGATACATTTCCCATTTAAATTACATGGGATTTTGACACTTTTCAATTAATTCTTTTTTGATGAGACATATATATTCTTATAGTAAATTGAACGCTCTACAAAAAAGGTCTCCTATAATTTTTCAAATAAATCACTCGTTAAAAAGTTATTCGAGGTGAAAGTTAAACTCTGTGTAAATTTTCAGATTTTTTTTACTTTTACGGCAAAGTTATTATTATTTCGATGAAAGTTATTAGTTTATTTCTGAAAATAGATAATTCTGGTGGTATCAGGGTATACAATTTTTATTTACACAATTTATATGACAATTTCCCTCGTCTTAATTTCCACCACAAACGCGCAATTTTTAATTACAAATGGTTTCTAGGTGAAAAAACTGTGTGACAGCACCTGTCAGCAGTTTATTCGAGTTTACCCGCGGCAAAACTTGACAGCTGTTGTCACCAAAAATTGCAATTTATATTTTAATTGTTAACTGTTACTCATGAAATAGTCTTGTCAAATACCATTCGGGCATCTAATTTTTCCTGTGAAAAAAATCTAAAAAACACAATGCTAAGTAATACTTTTTAACAAAATGCATTCGTGCAGGTGCAAAAATCCTCCTCTTCGACTCGGATTTTTGTTGCCACCAGCACTCATGCTTTTTGTTAAAATATTACTTAGCAACGTGTTTTTTCGATTCTTTTCGGAAAAATTAAATGCCCTTATGATATATAATATAAGTATACTTACGAAAAATCCGTCGAGTTCTTTGATCATTTTAAAAACGTCACCGTGAGCAATGTCAAATAATTGTTCGAGTTTATTTGACAAATCTTGCTCTTTTGTTTTATTTTTTTGGTTAAGATGTTTTTGTGCATTTCTGTATTCTGCGTAGAGACTTTTTAATTTTGTTATATAACGTGAATTAATTTGAGTTGGAATTACTGCTTCACTCCAAATTCCTGCCACTTCACGTATAACGATTGAACAGCTGTCATCAATAGATTTATTGCGATTTCTTGAGTGACCTTCTTTATTTGTTGGTAACTTTTTGCCAGTAATTGAACTTATTGTTTTTCCAATCAAAAATATATTTTGTCTTAGATCCATTGAACCTAAATTTTTATAGGTTAGAACTATTTGTGAAATTTTAATTCTAATGAGATTTTCAATATAAATTTAATTTTAAAGTTTTTATTTACCTATATGTTAAAAATTGCACTAATTCTAAATTTTGTTTTTTGTATATAATAAACAAGTTTTATAATATAAATAACTACTTTTAATGTACGACACAACATTCACAACAATAATATTTGTATACAATACTAAAAGGACTTAAAGGGAATGCTTATAAGAGTAATTTTGAGTCACTTACTGTATTGAAGGAAAATTTCATAAAAGTATACAAAACTTGAAATTCGATAAAAATTAGTTGACTGTGTGTTATAAATAAAGTCTCAAAAATGATTAAAACTAGAACCAGCTACCTACCTGTTATGCAGTCTATTATTTCCAGGTTTAAAAATTGTATACCCTAATACCACCAGAATTATCTATTTTCAGAAATAAACTAATAACTTTCATCGAAATAATAATAACTTTGCCGTAAAAGTAAAAAAAGTCTGAAAATTTACACAGTTTACACGAAAAATTATAAGTAGAGACCTTTTTTGTAGAGCGTTCAATTTACTATAAGAATATATATGTTTAAGAAAAGAATTAATTGAAAAAAGTGTCAAAATCCCATGTAATTTGTATCGTCTTTAGGGCAAGGTTTATTATGAATATTAGGAGTTTATTTTGGTCTGAAAATTTTTTTTAGACGATAGACTAAAAATTTAGGGAGCGTCGCAAGAAAAAAAATCAACTTGGTAAATAACGGACACCCTAATACACAGTGTGTATATAAAAGGTCTTTATAAACACATATTCCTTACGCCAAAACATTTTCGTTAGGTGTTGTGGGCTCTGCACCAGTCGGGAATGTTGGACATCATGTTGTACATGACCAGCTCATCGGCGGAACAAGCCTACTACATGCATCTGCTGGAAATTTTGTCTTTCATGTTGAGGGAACAAAAGGCATCGGAGTTGGCCAGCGCAGCTTTGCAGAGAAGCCAAAATGAAAAGATGAGGGACGAGGCAGAACTTTTGTCGATAAGGAACAGAGAAAATAACCAAAAAAGGCTGAAAGTCAAGGCCTACACTGGAACAAGGTAAATTTATAAAGTGTTTTTAATGTTTACAATCCGTTTTATTTAGACTAGCAACTTGGTCAAACATGCCAGAGTGATGAAGAAAGTGTTTCATGTCCATAAAAATAAAACTTTAATAAACTTTAAAGGTTTTAAATAAAAAATAAACAATTTTTTAACATGACCGTCGCATACTTTTTTTCATGGGATTTCACACATTTTTATTGCTCAAAATTAAAAGTATCTCCATGTTGTGAATTTAAGGTTACCTAAATCGAGCAATTTATAACTATTTATGTTGCTATTTTATCACTATAGACGGTCATGTTAATAAAAAATACGAAGAACTTTAACTTATCTCTATATCAAACACATGCTGTACCTACCATCTGGCGGCAAATAGACGACCTACGGTCATGTGAAGAAAACGTCGGGACAACGTATTATTTTTAGCCTAAACATTTACAATAATGGCTATATAAGACAATTTTATAACACAAAAAATTTGTTCAATATCATTTTCTTTGGCTACTTAAAAGTTGAATAATTTTCGATGAATTTCGATGAATTTCAATCGTAAATAACATTTTATTTGATTTCGGATTTAAACAATTATTAAAGAATATTGTAGATACATTAATGGAGAATCGCTCACATTTAAAATTACTAAAAAATACACGTACGTTAATAATATACAGGTTTAAACAAAAAGATATTTTTTACCATAAGTTTAAGACACTCTGTAGAGTGGCAAAACCGTATATTGTTCTAAATTAAGTTTTAATTATCAATTCACATCTATTTTTAACAGTTTTGTTTTTGGTTCACCTTGGTATATTTATTTTTGTGGAAAATATGGATTTAAAAAAAAAACATTGCAATTTTCAATATTTTTCCTGTATGAAGAACTAAGGTTGCTATGGTCCATCCATAGCCTATGGAGGATGACAGTGACAGTTTTGTTGAATCATCCCATACTTGGACATGTCATATACATCTTTCAAAAGCTATGAAATTGTTTTTTGTAAATTAATGTGTTAATTTTGAGGTGTCTTTTTACTTTTAAAAATGTCTCCCACTGATGTTACCCTTTGTACTTTACTTCTTGTGACGTTTAAAACACTTGCCACGTAATACTGTGACCGTCCATCCTGGATTAAATTAATGGCTCTGGCAACACCAGTCGGAGACATATGGATTTTTTAAAGTAAGAAGACACCTCAAAATTTAAACATTAATTTGCAAAAAACAATTTGATAGCTTTTGAAAGCCGTGTATGACATGTCCAAGTATGGGATGATTCAACAAAACTGTCACTGTCATTCTCCATAGCCTATGGATGGACCATAGCAACCTTAGTTCTTCATACAGAAAACTATCGGAAATTGCAATGTTTTTTTAAAAAAATCCATATTTTCCACAAAAATAAATATATCGAGGTGAACCAAAAACAAAACTGTCAAGAATAGATGTGACTTGATAAATAAAACTTAATTTAGAACAATATACGGTTTTGCCACTCTACAGAGTGTCTTAAACTTATGGTAAAAACATATTTTTGTTTAAACCTGTATATTATAAACGTACGTCTATTTTTTAGTAATTTTTTAAAATGTGAGCGATTGTCCATTAATTTATCTACAATATTTTTTAATATTCGTTTAAATCCGACATCAAATAAAAAAGTTATTTGCGATTGAAATTTTTTTTAACTAAAATGCAAAACAAAAAACAATTATCAACAAAGTAATCAATAATAACACAAAAAATTTCTTATTTGAGGATGACAATTTATTTGGGACACCCTGTATAACGACGAAGGTCTATCTTCTTTAATATTCAATTAAAAATGCAAAGTAAATGGGGAAGTCGTTCCTTATTCGAAAGTTGTTAATAAAAGTTGTTTCCTTTTCCGTTATCTTTTTTACCTTGCGAAACTTTTGAACTGTGCAGATAAAATAAGTACGACAAATTACCCCTTTTCTTCAACTCCGAACATTTTTTAATGCAGTCTATTTATACCGGTTAAATTTTAATCCAAACTTACAATTGCTTTTTAGGATTAACATGGGCCTGTTTTGTTTTTGTTCGAGTGAAAAATGTTTTTCATTTTTATTTTTTACGCTGAAGGATTTATTTTTATTAAAACATGCACGAAATACAAATAATTTTAATAAAATGTTTGTTTATTTTTGAAATGTACATTTTATTTAACCCGACAAACATTAAATGCCACAAATTGTATGTTTTTAACGTCATATTTATTTAATTTTATATAAACACGACTATTATTTATATTTTTAGTTGTGCATTTATGAAAAACAACAAAATACACATTTAAAATGCCAATCACTAGGCACAGACAGGTGGTACTATGCTCCACACCTCAAAGTCCCACCACGTGACCACGTACGGAACGCAGTCTTTTGAAAATTTGGCATTTAAGGCATTTCAGGTTATGTATCTGTCAAAGTATAGTCAACGAAAGAAATAATATTTATAGTGTTACCGCTTATGTTTAAGCGTTAAAAGTTAATAAATCTTTATAGTAACACAATAACAATGGTTGGTGTAAGAATTTAGGAATATAAATACTGCATTTAATGAAATTCCAAAGTGTAAGGTGCAATATAAGTGATATTTTTGTGCATTGGGTCTACATTTCTCTATAAAATAGCATTTATTAAAAAAAATCTAACTTCTCAATTATGAAATAAGAATATCTCAGATATTATATCTGTATCAAAGGTAGTTTAATGTCAGAGATATATGCCTCTGGTTAATGTATTAAAACAAAAAATATCATCTAATTTTGTATTTTAAGGTTAGAAAAATCTATTTTGACCAAAATAAATAAGTGGATTATTTGGAAGAGTGTGTTAATATGGTCATAAATAAATATAGGTATACTAAATAATTGTTGAATATGGTTCAAATTAAATTGAAGCTTTTATACTTCTAATGACAAAACTTGTGCATACCTCTCGGCATACCTACTTTAAGTTAGATTATAAGAAAACAAACAATTTTTAGAGAAACTTGCAATGTGAAAATATTTAATACTCCCATGACATGCGATTTATTAAATTTTTTAAAGTTATAATGATTTTTCAATGTAGATCAAGTTCAGTCGAAGCTTTTTAACTATTTGCATTGACAAAACTTAATGTAGGTACACTTTAAGCTGGATAAGAAAAACTACCACATTTTTAAATACCATATTATACAGTCTTTTAAATAATCCAAAATACTTATTTATTTTAGTCAAAATAAATGTTTCTAACCTTAAAATTACAAAATTAGATGATATTTTTGGTATAATATATTAACCTACCTTTAAAACAGATATTCTTATTCCATAATAGAGAAACTAGATTTTTTTTAATAAATGCTGTTAAGTTAAAATTATTTTGTGGAGAAAACCAGATATTTGGACAAAATGCACAAAAATATTACTTATTTGGCACAATACACTTTAGAATTTCATTAAATGCAGTATTTATATTCTTAAATTCTTAAACCATCCATTGTTATTGTAATTTTATAAAGATTTATACATTTTTAACGCCTAAACAAAATATTATTTCTTTCGTTGACTATACTTTGACAGATACATAAACTGAAAAGCCTTAAATGCCAAATTTTTAAAAGACTGCGTTCCGTACGTGGTCACATGGTGGGACTTTGAGGTGTGGAGCATAGTACACACCAAAATAACATCTACCGTACCATTTAAAAAGTACAAAACATATGTTACATCAAATGGCAAATATGATCAAATGTTTGGTTAACATTTAGTATAATATTTTGCAATCCTATTAAAATAATTAAAAAATGTAGAAACTAAGGTATATAACCGGATATATTTTTAGACACTCTCGTTTCGGTGGAACTTACGTGGTAAAAACCATGAAGGGCATAGGCGACAACGACCTAGTCTACCACAAACCTCTCAGCAAAGCGCTGAATTTCGACGTGGACAAAAAGAAGCCCAAAACGCCCAAAAATAGGCTCCCCATGCAGGGCTGCTTAAACGAGCGCAGGTCCGCCTTCAGCGTTAGGTTGTTTTTGAAGGAGTTCTGCGTGGAATTTCTGAACGGGGCCTACAATACCATGATGTACCATGCCAAGGATAATTTGTCGAGGTCCAAAGCGCAAGCTCACGACGAGAGCTACTATTTGTGGGCCATAAGGTTTTTCATGGAGTTCAACAGGTGCTACAAGTTTGAAGTCAAGTTAGTAAGGTAAGGATGATGGTTAATTACACTATGATCAGTGGCGGCCCGTCAGGGGAGGCAGTATAATTTAAATATTTTACTTTCTATAATATACTATAAATTTTTAATATTTGGATTACATGAATTGTGAAATAGTCAATAAAATTGATTGATTTTATACGTGGACTACCCAGCAACATTTAAATTATTTGAATTTGAAACGACCGCAATTTAAACTAATATTTATAGCTAGATGATTGGCTCAGAAGCACGCCTGAACTAATTTAGACTCACGATTGGCGTTAGCCTTGTTGTCTCGTTCTATTACAATGCGATATCGTAGTTGTCTCCTTCTCTCGTGTTAGCATACGCGAGGCAGGCACGCCCACATCCAAGGAAATAAGCAGGTGTTGTGGCAACACTGTTGCGGAATTTTAGATAAATTATACTTCACACGTTTTTCAAAATTCAATAATAAATGGTATTATTTTTTTATAATAAATCGATTTAATCGAAATTATATTTCTATTCTAAAATAAACATATTTTAACACTATCGCCATCTTGTAGCCATCACAGTAATCAATAAAATAAATACAGATCCATTCTTTAGGTTTGTTTTGGTTATAAAATTCTAAACTGTTTAAAGAAAAAATCTGTGGTTATTTACGTTTGTCTATTTTATGATTCTTTTGTAAGTGGTTTATTCTGTGAGTTTAGTTAATTGAACTGTGGTGATTTATGTGAATTTAGTCATTATTATTATTAAACCCTGCCTCTGCCTCACCAAAATGAAATGTCACGGGCCGCCACTGACTATGATAGTTTTACAAACTTTTTTTCCTAACATTAAGTACTCCAGCTTAGTTTAACTAATTTTGTGCCGCTGATTTCAAAAATGTCATTAGTTTTTCTCTACGACGTCTAAGATTTAAAATAATTTCGTAATAAAATGCTCTGCTCAATCACCTTAAAATGTAAGTTTTTTGTTTGTATTTTAATTATTTATTAAATTATTTTGGCTTAAATTTATCTTGAATGTGCTAAAGTAATTGGTATACGGCAAATAGATCATATTTATCTTAACAATATGACATTTTAAATACTAAAACTAAAATTTTAATGTATCTTATGTAAAAAAACAACCATTATTTGACATTTTTGTCGTTTATTTTAATTATTAAATTGAAAGGGCAACAAAGTAAACCAGTTTCAGTATTTTTTATCCAAATTAACCCCTTAATTTAATGCATTGCATAATTTTGCTTTTTTCCACCTTAAATTTATTAAATCGTATCAAATATCAAATTGGATTATAGTATTATTGTGCTTAATCCTCATCATCGTCGTACATCTTTTACTGCAAATTCCAGCAAATGTCTCCTAGCAATGAATCCAACTTCTTTCCGCTATACCCATAGATATCTACCAATGCTCCAGATTTGCAGTTACTTGGTGAAATCGTTCTCCATGTTCATCAGTTCGGGAAATTTATCAGGATGAAAAAAAATTAAAATCTATTTTAAATGACATACTAACGCCAATTCTTTACAAAACGAAAAGCATTTTTTTTAATGAATTGGCGCCAATTTTAGGCCCGATATGAACAAAGAACATTTTTAATGACAGCTTTAACACTGCCATATGCGACAAGCTCGTCAACTTTGAGAGTATTTTTAAATGCTTGATCTTTCATTAAACGTCTTATCCATTTAATATTCCTGCAAAATTAAAGTAGTAGGTGCACCTACATGTATCTCATAAAATTTTGTAATATTATATTGCGTTGGTTTTTCTTGGGCGTAAAGGTACCGCAACAAAAACAAAACAAATTTACAACGACGACATAAATGTTCCATTTCCTGCTCTTTTTTCATTTTTGGTTCTTAAAATCACTTTCAAGTAAAAATACAATTTAAAGTTTAAATTTTAAATGTCAATAATTAATAGATGCACTTTAGTGTGCTGAACGATAAAGTAGATACTACAAATCGATATTAAATTTTGATAAGGCGTAATAAATAAGATTAGAGATTAAATTTTTGTGTACTTTAGGCATGTTGTGAATAAAAGCATATCAAATAATAGTCGAAGAGTAATGCTTATACCGAAACCCTTTTACTTTGTTGCCTTTTCAATTTAATTAGTAATTAAAAGAACGACATAAAAATTTAAAAAATGATACTTTTTACCAAAAAAACATTATAATTTTAGTTTTGGTATTTAATACTACTATAGTATACGGCTGCAATGGAACAAACAAAATTTCTATTTGACATTCATCTACCGATGACTTTGTATGGAGTCCCTGTAATTTTTTGACAAAAAACGTCAAAAATATACTGAACATCCAAAATAGATTTAAGGCAAAATAATTTAATAAATAATCAAAATATTAACGAAAAATTTACTAAAAACTTTTATTACGCAATTATTTCGAATCCTAGACATCCTGGAGCAAACTCTATTGGTTAAAATTGTTCTTGTTGTCTGGTTCTCTGGTCGATTTGAGTCCAGAACCCGCTTTGTATATCTACTAATGTACTATGCTCCACACCTTGAAGTCCCACCACGTGACCACGTACGGAACGCAGTCTTTTGAAAATTTGGCATTTAAAGCTTTTCAGGTTATGTATCTGTCAAAGTATAGTCAATGAAAGAAATAATATTTATAGTGTTACCGCTTATGTTTAAGCATTAAAAGTTAATAAATCTTTATAGTATCACAATAACAATGGGTGGTTTAAGAATTTAGGAATATAAATACTGCATTTAATGAAATTCCAAAGGGTAAGGTGCAATATAAGTGATATTTTTGTGCATTGGGTCTACATTTCTCCATAAAATAGTTTTAACTAAACTTCTCTATTATGAAATAAGAAAATCTGTATCAAATGTATTAGAACAAAAAATATCATTTAATTTTGTATTTTAAGGTTACAAAAATATTTTGACCAAAACAAATAAGTGGATTATTTGGAAGAGTGTGTTAATATGGTCATAAATATAGGTATACTAAATAATTGTTGAATATGGTTCAAATTAAATTGAAGCTTTTATACTTCTAACGACAAAACTTGTGCATACCTCTCGGCATACATACTTTGAGTTAGATTATAAGAAAACAAACAATTTTTAGAGAAACTAGCAATGTGAAAATATTTAATACTCCCATGACATGTGATTTATTAAAATATTAAAGTTATAATATATATAATATATATAACTATATATAATATATATAACTATTTGTATTGACAAAACTTTATGTAGGTAATACCTACTAGATATACTTTAAGCTGGATAAGACAAACTACCACATTTTTAAATACCATATTATACTGTCTTTTAGATAGTCCAAAATACTTTTTTATTTTGGTCAAAATAAATTTTTCTGACCTTAAAATTACAAAATTAGATGATATTTTTGTTATAATATATTAACCTACCTTTAATACAGATATTCTTATTCCATAATATAGAAGCAAATTTTTTTTTTAATAAATGCTGTTAAGTTAAAATTATTTTATGGAGAAAACCAGATATTTGGACCAAATGCACAAAAATATTACTGATTTGGCACCATACACTTTCATCAATTTCATTAAATGCAGTATTTATATTTTTAAATTCTTAAACCATCCATTGATATTGTAATGTTATAAAGATGTATACATTTTTAACGCCTAAACATAATATTATTTCTTTCGTTGACTATACTTTGACAGATACATAACCTGAAAAGCCTTAAATGCCAAATCTTTAAAAGACTGCGTTGCGTACGTGGTCACGTGGTGGGACTTTGAGGTGTGGAGCATAGTACAAATTCAATGTTCGGTTTCCAGCGAGACGATGTCGGTCCAGGCCTTTCACTACGTGCAACAGCAAAGCGAAAACTACTTCGACCTGATAACCACCGACAAAAAAAAATTCCGCCTCTGGTCGCGCCGGCTCCACCTGGCCCTCTTGGCCTACAGAGAGCTCTTCGCTACGCTCCTGCTGATGGACAAATCGACCGATAAAGCGGTGAGAGATTCATCCAGAGTGCTCAAGAGCAACATCTTCTACGTGCTAGAGTACAGGGAGTTTGTGCTTACCTTGTTGGTGAATTATGACGAGCTGAAGATGTCAGATGTCTACTTGAAGGACCTCATCGAGACGCAGCATATTTTTTTGAAGATGCTCGAGGCCTTTTGCAAGCAGGGGACTGTCATGTTCCAGAAGAAAGGAAGGGCGAAAAAGAAGAAGAAACGTAAGTAATTTATTTCATATTTACAAGATTTATTTGGGTAATTCCGTCTTAAATCGTAATTTCGTGAAACAATGAGTTTAATTATTATTATTTAATTAACTCCTTTAAGTGTTTCTTATAAATGCCATAACTAAAAAATTTAAAATTTTTGCTCATATTTAAAAAAAAATTACGTTCTATGACCAAAATGTCACATAAGTTACCTGTCACCAACAGTTTTATTATACTTTAAAATTAAATTGTACAGACACTATTAAAAAACAGTATTTTTAAACTAAAAACACAAATTAACAATGTAGTATTTTCATTTTAAAAGAGATTTTGACCTTAAAATGATTTATTTTATGTATTTTTTTGAGCTTTAGTTTAGTCACCCTGTTTTTGGTCCCATAAATTACTTTCTACATTGCGGTAACATTTTTGGGACTTGGCAGATGTGTGGTTATTGTTAAAATCAGAAGAGTATAAGTTATTACGTAAATCACGCAATTTTAATTATTTTTACAAATTTTCGTAACATAATCTTAAAATAGGCTTGTTATTTAAATGTATGCAATCCGATTTATATCCCACGTTGCCGGCTTGTTTACAAAATTTAAAAAGCCAAGAAAAGTCACATAAGTTACTGTCTCATAAGTTACCGCTAAGTGGAGAAAATACAAAGATAAATACAAGAAAAAGCATTGGAAGTAGAAGTGTTTCAAAACAATGGTATTGATCTTTCGATAAACAAGTGGGTTGTGGTTAGTTATGATAAGAATTTTTTTCCCGGAGTTGTGTGCAGTTTAAATAGTCAAGACTACAAAATTAAAGCACTAAAAAATATTGGAGAAAATAAATACATTTGGCCATTACCGGAAGACAAAATTTGGTATTGTAAAACCGACATACTGTTCAATATTTCACCTCCAATAAAAGTAACCAAAAGGCCCTTGCCTTTAGATGTTAAGGATTGGAATTTATTAACTTCTATAAGCAACGATTGAGAAAGTGCAGTTTATAAATGTATTTAAATTATTTAATAAAACGTTTCAAAAATCTTATGTTGCTAGTTCATTGGTACCTAAATATTTATATATTTATATGAAAAATAAATTATATTTTTGATATGTTACCCAGCATGTCTCATATGTTACAGAGTACAGTTCTTTTGATTTATACATGTAATTTTTATATTTTTTATTTTAAAATAACACAAAATAGCATATAAGCTATAAAATAATCTATTACCTATATTTTAGAGTGTAAAACTAAGATTTTTTTTTAAATAATCTATTTTTGCGTTCTTAGTAACATATGTGACAATCACATAAGTTACTAGTATTCCTTTTTCCTCAAAAAAACACAAAAAAATATGAAAAGTGTACGGCTCGCATTAGTTATTATTTAAGAGGGTCTAATACTAAGTAAATTACTATAAATTATGACTGTTTATAAAAAATATCTCCTCTCAAAATTGCGATTTAAGACGGAATTACCCATTTGCAATTCTTTGATTTTTTAAATTTACATAATGGTTTCTTTATTTTTCCTTTATAAAAAATAAACCCTTTTTAGGACTAATTTAAAAAATTGTGAATTTTTCATCAATCATAAAACCTAATTTAATCTAACTTTGCGCCCAAACTTTTTTAATAAGCCGTAAAAAAGTTTTCATTACGATTATTCTCATTAAATGTTTTTAAAACAAAATAAACCAAATTTTTAATTAGTTTTAAAACAATGAAAATTATTTTTAAAGAATTTAGATACCTTACGATTTTATATTATACGGGATGTCCCCCAAGTGAAAATGATTTTGAATGTTAGAGCTTCACGGAGGTTAGGATTTCGTATGTTTTTTTAAAACATCCTTTTGTATATTTGAAATAAGTTATTTTATCTTTTGACACCTTAATATTTTTTAAAAACACAATTGTACAAACATAAAATATTTATAAAAAATATCTACTTACTGAGATATTACACTTCACGGTGGATAGGTTTTTAAATAGCAAATTAATGAACTTAAACTTTTGAATTATAAAACAGCAACACTCTCATCTGCATATAAATTTTAACTGACCTTCAGGAATCACATTCATCTATAATGTGTAAACAGAGGTTTTTGCTTATTTAAAATGATTAAAGCGCTATCAGTTGCATACAATTTAAAGCAAAAACTGATTCACGGAGGATATAATCAATTTTGGTAACACCTACATAAATGGTTGTAAAAATTATATCTTTTAATTTTTAATATTATTTTATATTTGATTCGATTGCTTTGGATGTGTTTAATTTACTTAGTGAACTGATATTTTTAGTGTGCTTTTACTACCTCAGATATTTGAAAACATATAGGTTAACCTAGAAAGAGTAACAGTCACGGAGGATAGGTTTTAGACTTTTAAAACCCGGTGAATATCCGCGATAGCAGAATTGATTCTTATGCTATTATGCCTGTAGGAAGTTTTTCCCAATGTAATTGCCAGATAAAAAATGATTTATTAGGTTTACTCTAGGCTCCTTAATGCTGTAAAACATTCTCTTCGATTTTCCTTAATTAATCTTTTTTGCTCGTAAATTTTCCGAGACGTTTTCTTTATATCGCACTGTAGTTTTGTTGTTTCTGTGGCACTTTAAAAAATTGCCTCTTAAATGAAAATTAATTTGTTATCTGGCGCGTTTTAATCTACCATTATGGACGATGACATTTTTTAACCATTTATCAGACAGAAAACCTCTTAAATGACAAATACTGTGATTAATGGCGAAATAAGACATTTTTGCTTGTTGAAACAACGCTTTATAAATCTCTATGTCAATTTTTTTGTTTGTTAAATTTTATACAATGTAGGTGGCCCAAAACTATTTTTCTCCCACGAATATTCGTTATTTTAAGAGCTCTTCACAACAGTCTTGTTCTGCGTTTGATTGTGTAAACCATAAAATTTACTAAATAATTTAAAATACACCAGTTTTAAAGTCATTTACTGGAGTCTTGATAGAGCATCAGCAGTGGGATCCATCCTTGGTCCCATACTTTTTTTGGGATAAATAAACGATCCACCAATCAACAGGACATTAACTCTGAATTTTATTTGTTGATTTAAGCAAACTTACCTTAGTAGAAAGGTCTGCATAAGGGTCATTTTCAAGAAACACCCGGTTTCAGGAAAATGAAGATCAAATTTTTTTTTCCTTAAATTGACTTTTGGTTGGATTTTTATAAATGTTTAGAGTTTTCTTTACATACATTTAAGACAGGCAGTGCACTTTTTAATTTTTTTTTACGTTTTTTCAGAAAAATGTGTTTAGCTAGCTTTATATGTCTCCACTGTGTTACCAATTTGAAATAAAATGTACTTAGTTCACAAACTTTTGAGTCCAATTTTATTTTTTATTAAAAATTGTATGCCTTTTTTAAATATTTATGTTAGTTAAGTTACTTTTTAAAAGACACCATTCCGATTCTTTGTTAAAAAAACAATACCATTAATATTTTCTTTTAGTCACTGTATTAGTGAGTTAAACTCTAATTTATAAACAGGTATTACCAAGTGATAGTAAAATCATTTTAAGGATTTTTTTTAACAAAAACTAAAAAAAGTAACGAAATAGACATTGGTATCACAGCGGACTGGGGTACACAAAGGACTTAATCAGATATCGTAAAAAAAAAACTAAACTGCTCGTCATAAAAATCGACGCACCTAGTTTTTTGGAAATTATTTGAAAGCTCGCTATTGGAAAATTAATGAATCGATTTTGAAAATCTTTGGAAATTCTGAATAGCTGATTCTTTGACTCTTATGTCTAATTTTGGGAATACGACATTTTGCACGTAGCATTAAACTACAGGGTGTTAAACGAAGAGATGTATTTTTTCCGAAATTTCAAGTTATTCCCATTTATGAGGCAGTTGAGTTTGATAGTCGTAATACCCCTCCCTAATATTAGTAAGGTAATCCCTCGAAACGTTTTCGAGATTTTGTGAATATCGCGGCTTACTACGATTATATGCCAATTTATCGATAATTGTCGTTTTTTCCCAGTTTAGTCCAAAAAATGAGCAATAGTGGATTCTTTGACTTACGTCTAATTTTGAGAATACGATATTGTGTACATAGCATGATACTACAGGGTGTTAAAAAAAGAGATGTTTTTTCCAAAATTCCAAATCCCCATTCACAGGGCAGTTGAGCTTGATAGTCCTAATACCCCTTCCTAATAACAGTTAGGTAATCCCTCGGGACGTTTTAGAGATTTTGTGCATATCTTGGCTAACTACGATTATATACCAATTTTTCTAAAATTGTCGATATTCCCCAGTTGTCCAAAAAATGAGCAATAGTGGATTCTTTGACTTACGTCCAATTTTGGGAATACGATATTGTGCACATAGCATTATACTACAGGGTGTTAAAAAAAGAGATGTTTTTTTTCCAAAATTCCAAATCACCATTCACAGGGCTGTTGAGCTTGATAGTCATAATACCCCTTCCTAATAACAGGTGGATATCTTGGATAACTACGATTATATGGCAGTTTTTCGAAAATTCTTCACTTAAGTCCCAAAAATGAGCAAACTACGGAAGGTATCAACACAGCGTTTTAAGGTAGGTCACGTGCTTCCAGTTTATGTACATTGCGTGATTTATGAAAAGTGAAATGTTTCACACAAAACCAATTTTTTTCGGTTAAATTTAAAATAAAAACGCAAACCAAACAAAATTATTCTCGTAAGCTTATGCAGGCTATATTCATGCAATTTTCTACAAACGGCCATATTTCTTAAACTTTCATATATGAAAGTTTAAGAAATATGGCGCATATCTGGTTTTGAGTTTCCTGCCTTCAATTATTCTTGTCATTTTTGTCGTCGAATATGAAAACATTTTCCAAACAGCAAAACACATTAAAAAAATAAAATGACGGATGTAAGATTGCATACAACGCAAGACGAAGAGCTACCTGCCCTCTTTTTCTGCTGGAAGAAGATGGGCACAAGAACATGCAAATTGGGGAAACGATGTGTTGATAACTAATCGATATCTTTCGTAGTTTGCTCATTTTTGGGAATTAAGTGGAGAATAACGACAATTTTCGAAAAATTGCTATATAATCGTTAGCCAAGATATCCACAAAATCTCGAAAACGTTCCGAGGGATTACCTGTTATTAGGAAGGGGTATTAGGAATATCAAGCTCAAATGCCCTGTGAATAGGGATTTGAAATTTTGGAAAAAAACATCTATTTTTTTAACACCCTGTAGTATCATGCTATGTGCACAATATCGTATTTCCAAAATTGGACATAAGAGTCAAAGAATCAACTATTGCTCATTTTTTGGACTAAAATGAAGATAACGTGAATTTTCGAAAAATTGACATATAATCGTAGTTAGCCAAGATATCCACAAAATCTCGAAAACGTTCTGAGGGATAACCTAACTGTTATTAGGAAGGGGTATTACGACTATCAAGCTCAACTGCCCTGTGAATGGGGATTTGAAATTTTGGGAAAAAAACATCAATTTTTTAACACCCTGTAGTATAATGCTATGTGCACAATATCGTATTCTCCAAATTAGACGTAAGTCAAAGAATCCACTATTGCTCATTTTTTGGACTAAACTGGGAAATAACGACAATTTTCGATAAATTGGCATATAATCGTAGTAAGCCGCGATATTCATAAAATCTCGAAAACGTTCCGAGGGATTACCTTACTTATATTAGGAAGGGGTATTACGACTATCAAACTCAACTGCCTCATGAATGGGAATAACTTGAAATTTCGGAAAAAATACATCTCTTCGTTTAACACCCTGTAGTATAATACTGTGAGCAAAATATCGTATTCCCAAAATTAGACATAAGAGTCAAAGAATCAGCTATTTAGAATTTCCAAAGATTTTCAAAATCGATTCAGTAATTTTTTAATAACGAGCTTTCAAATATTTTCCAAAAAACTAGGTGCGTCGATTTTTATAGGGTGGTAC